AAGGTTTTCCATTTATCCTTCTACACCCAAGAAGTACAAATCTGAAGCAGAGAGGACTTGGTTGGCAGAGAACATTTTGCCTGACCACACTTCCTACAGTAGGCAGCTCGAACTTGTCACCGTGAATATGCTACACCACGAGTTGACATTAAGGTGGAAGGAAAGGCAGGGTAAGTGCTTGCTCATGAGGTCGCCCTCCTTTTATGGTAAGAATAGCCTTTGCTGTTCAGCAATACACCGACGCAGGTGCACAAACTCACACACATGCATGTCAATGTTTGAGTATGCACACAAGTGTCCGAGTACACAATCAGATGTGTGAGCCTGCATACACACAAACGCACACACCGAGAAGGCGGCTGAAAAAGATACCCAAAATTGATTCTAACCACAGGGCTGTTTCAAAATGGCAAATCGCTGCTTTCTGAAGTCCAATATGATGGATTCATCCATTTTGAATGAAATGCATGAGACCAACATAGCTCGAGCCAACCAATCCACACACACAGAGAAATAAGAGCACATCCAGATGTAGCCTGGTCACTGTGCTTCTCATCTCAGGCCAAGCACGAATCTCATCGCACATTGACAAGTCCCCAAACGCCCCGACACAAACTCACCCCAGGTCTTGATGTTTTTGTAGGCATGACTGTTTGCAAACACATTTATTGGGTCTTTTCCGACGGTCCCCTGTTGACTATGTACAACTAATGAGCCAAAACTCAAAGCCGTGTCCTGATCCCCACAGTGCCGGAGAGGGAGGAGACCTATCCTAAAAGTGTGTGTTGTCCACCCCCACCATGATTCGTAAAGGCCAGCTGAGAGACATTAACGAGTTAGAATGGCAAAAACGTCTATGAGGTTGAGGAGACATGGCGCATGTTAATCAGAATTGTAAATCGATGTCAAAGAGGAACAATGACATCACTGTAAAAACACATCTATGGGAGAGCCACGTTAATATCCTTATCTAATTAGGCTGACTTCCTACTGACTCGCCAGAGAGGTAAGGGTAAATGTGAGACTAATTATTGATTCATTTGTTTACCTTGGCAGCACATGTTCCTTGCAAACCAACACAAATAATAAGACCTCGGGGTACATGACTACTGTACACGAACGAGTAGTTAACAGCCTTCATTTGCACACGGTGATGACAATGACATGCCACTGACAGCTAACAACATGCCGCACAAGTGAAGACATGTAGCTTCTTGCAAAAATACAAAGGTGAAACATTTGCTGTTACAATGATTCAATTTGGACACAATTTGATTTGCTTTGACTCAGTTGATTCAATTTTGATCCAGTACATTTTTAGGAAATATTGTAAAATAAACATTCATTTACTTTCGGCCATTTTACGTCCATCTTATTTGTTGACATTTACTTTTTGTCTATAAATCAGTCTACGAAGTAAGGCTGAGTAATTCAAGTAACATTTTCTTCATTAACCATCTAGTTAAAGAAAGTTGTATTCCACCACACATTAACATTTACAGCTAATATTCTTATTTTTAAAACAATTTAAATTAAATTAAAAAAATAAAATTGTGGCAAAACATTACATTCAAATTAATTGATAAAATCTGAAACAAAATCACCTAGCCCTACTATAAACAAACTACTAAAAAACAAAAAAATACCAGCAATATTATTTTTATTAGATAGATCACAATAATTATTTTAAAAAATATATTCTTCTAATATTAGATTAATATTGATTGTCATTGCAAGGCATAAAAGTATTTTTCAACCCTATAAATAACTAACAACTAACATTTGCAATATAATTCATCTGCCGCTATGATCAGCATGTTGCACCATTAAGATCAAATGTATAGTTTTCATGCTGGCATTCAAACACACCATAAACTAATGTGAAGCAAAAAGGACAAACAGATGAGATCCAGCATGTATCAGTGATCTTTAAAAATGTAATGGTTGTTTTTCCATACTCTTCAATCATAAAGACCCTGAATACAGCAAGGCACTGAATCAATTTGTGTACACTATATTTTTGTGCATATTTCCCGCATGTTCAAAATGAACAGCTTGGACACAAGCCTGAGCAGGTGTTTCCAAAACACTCTGACTAAATCTAGCTCTTACATCTGAAACAGATATCTAGCACAGGAATGAGTCCTATTCCAACAGGGGCATCTAAAAGCCACACACACGTACAAACTCTCTCTTATCTCAAACTACAGAAAGCAAAGAGCAGAGCTTCCAGAAACCCCCATTCCCCTCTCATTCTCTCTCATCTCTGGTATGAGAGGCATGTAGTAATTACCGAGGCTAAAAGCTGACTAATGCTCTGTGTGCATCTGCATCTATGAATGTGAGTGGTTACTGAATTCTTGGTCAATGTTTATACCAAAGAGCCTTATCGTTCTCAGCACAAAACAAACAGGCCTGTAGGTTAGTATCATAAAAAAGTAAGGTGAACAACCCCTGAGGTACTGAATAAAGGTATGGACAAGACAAAAAAAAATTAAAATCAGCTGTAGAAACAAAAATGTACCATGGTAACCAAGAGTGTAGTTTCTGCCAAAATATCAAAGTTTACTGCACGTATTGTTAATATTTTAATATGGGATCCCCTTTAAACAGTGTAAGAATTTAACAGAATCTTCAAATGCTCAAAATTACACAATTTTCTTAATTTCACATTAAACAAAGCTCAAATTAAATAAAAACAAACTGAAATAACTACCTGAAGTTTAAAATTACTAAAACTTTTGACTAATGTTGCTGTATCCATACGAGTCACAATGAAACAACAAGCAATTAAAGATTTTTCTTCCATGTAAATCTGAGGTTTTGTCCAAACTAGCTGCAATTGCGACAAGCAACAATAAAATGCAATGCACTGGACTGTAATAAAATAAAATAATATAAAACACAATACATCCAATAAAAATATATACAATAAAAAATCAAATTATAAAAAATTGCCAGTAATGTTAATAAAAAATCCCAACCATGAAAATGTATTCAGCGAGATTGCACTTTTTGTTCAGTGGCTGAGAACATTCCAAATTATTCTGATTTTCCCAAAGGCTCAAATACGCACTTTTTCCAGCTTTTAATGCGGTTTTCATGGAAACTAAGGTTTGTTCTTGTAATTTCACATCCCGAAAACTGTCCTGGACATCGAAAGAAACAACTTCCTTGTGAGGCTTTAAGCCCTCGAAAAGAGAAGGCTGTGGGTTTTATCTCAAACCAGCAAAAAAAGGTTTGAGGTCTGCTATTGTTCCTGCAGTTACTGCTGGCACAGCAAAACAGCACACAAATAGAATCGCTATCAAATCAAAATGAAAGTCGCACTCCACTGGTTTCCTCTAGGCAAGAAGATGTCATTCATCAAACCAGATGGCTGGTGGATAAAGCAGGTACATCCTTTACGGTGACAGTGATATTCAATATTGTCAAACCGTATCAAACCCCAGACCCCATTTGATGTCGTTTCCTGCTTTGGTCTGGGTTTTATATCAAAAGCTTTTTCACTGACACAAATAATCTGGGTTTGCCTTGATCAGAGCGTGAAACCTCCATTGTGCATCTGGACACTACGGATGGTATACCAACTCGAACATTTGGCCACTCTGATGGGTCTAGAGCACTTTTGTAATTAATTCATTTTAAACTTGTTCAAATATTTGATTTGCATGTATAGAGTAATCAATTACCCAATCCCAACATGAACAAGGAAGAAACATAGAATTAACTTTCCAAAGGACTTTTTTGACTAAGAGCGAAGTTCTTGGTTTTCCCCCTCATTTAGTAAAGAAGCAAAAGGTTTAGCAAATGCTTTTATCCAAAGTGACTTGCAGTACATTTACTAGGTAAAATCCCCCTGGAACAACCTGAGGTTAAATGCCACCAAGGACACTTGGTGAAAGCTCAAGGCTCACTCCACACAGGCCTCAGCTTTAGCCACTTCACAATACCAGCTCCTAAATCAATGTTTCCCAACCTTTTCTGTCCTACATACCCCCACAGCCGCATCAGTAAGGCTCAATTCATGTCAACAACTATGGCATATCCTCCATTAGAGAAACTCTTAAAGTTTAACTGTCATTTTTTGTTTAATGTTGGCACTTGACGTAGCCTAATCATCCAAAAGCCAAAGTTTTTGGTTATTAATGCGTTTGTAGAACAGTGCAGTTGTTGTTAACGGTAACTGCAATAATGCTGAAATAAAGTAAAACAGAAATAATAGATGAAAAACTTTGAAAAAGTTTTATGAAAAATGCCCCGTTTTTATAGCATCAAATTACTAGAAATTAAAAACGAACAATTGAACATATATCAGCGTGATAACAACTACCTTTAATGACCAAAACCATCTTTCGGAAAATTGTATTGGAAGTGTAATTTATTATTATTTTTTTGACTCAAGTCCCATTCGTTTACATGGAGAGGGCGGGGTTTATGACCTGTACTGCAGCCAGCCAGCAGGGGACGATCAAAGAGCCCGCAGCTTCACTTTTCAGGATGTGTGAGGCACACCCGGTGTATACAGAGTCGGTCTAGTCCAGTGGTTCCCAACCTGGGGTCCATGCCCCCCTAAGGGGGGCGCCAGAGTTCACGGGTGGGGGATTCACAGGAGCGGATATGCTTTGAGGCAGGGCTGGGTGATAAAATTATAACGATAATTATCATGATATAATTTTCCTCAATAAAACGATAAGAGTTTGATAAATGTTTGATATAATGTTTATAAGCAAAAAGCATAACGAAACACGGACAAAACTGTCAAAAGTATATTTCTAATGACATTATTATATATACATATATATATACATACATATATATATATATGTGTGTGTGTGTGGGGGGGGCATGAAAAAAAAAAGGTTGGGAACCTCTGGTTCAATCTGTGTATAGAGAGTCAGTCTAGGTGTGTAATAGAGAGAGAATACAATAGAGCTCATAGAAAAGACATCAAATGAGAACAAAATCGGTTTCGTCTGAAAGGGAAGAGATTTTCTTACCTGGCTCCAGTTTAATGACCTTGATAGCAGCCAGCTCACCTGTAGTGACATTACGGGCCTGAAAGAGAAAAACAACAGCACTTACTCAACAGATCTCTCAATGTTAACTATTATTCATCTGAAAGACTTCAGATGTGATCAGAGCAACCAGCAGGCCCTGACTTTCCAGACAACTTTTGCATTTTCTGGAAAAATCTTTACAATGAATTTAAAAATGGTAAAAGGAGTACTGCACTCTTAATTGTAGCAAAAACATCATGAAATCAGTCAAAAAAGTAAATGCAAAGGTGCTGCACAGATTCCATGTGGGTCTGCTGATTGGGTAAAAATTTGCTTAAAGCCTTTCATTAACATTGATTTTCAATAGTTTAATTTTCAATATTGCCTACAACTAAATTGTATGCTTAAATAGGGTAAACATACAATCGAATGCATGTTTGCTACATTAGCACTGTCAATACAGACTGTGCATACTTTTGCATTTTCTTGTGGTTTTTTAAAAGACAGCTGATTAGCGCCCGTAGAGCAGAATGCTAATTTATCGGCCTGCTACTAATCTGAATAGTCACATGGGCAGAGGCACAGATATTTATAATTCAAGAGAAAGTTTCATCACCTTTAAAGGGGTCATATGACGTTTCTAAAAAGAACATTATGTTGTGTATTTGGTGTAATGCAATGTGTTTATGCGGTTTAAGGTAAAAAAAACAAACAAACATTATTTTCCATATAATGTACATTACTGTTTCTCCTCTATACCCCGCCTTTCTGAAAAGCGTCGATTTTTACAAAGCTCATCGTTCTAAAAAAGCGAGGTGTGCTCTGATTGGCCAGCTATCCAGTGCGTTGTGATTGGCCGAATACCTCAAGCGTGTGACGGAAATGTTACGCCCCTTAACATACTGTGATGTCGTCTCCCAGCAGGGCGAGACTCAGTCCAGCTGCTCTGCTCGTGCACATCCCATCATCGGTTCTCTTTTAGCAGTTCAGTCAATGTACTATTAGGAGTAACTGAATAACTCGAGATATTGGTTTATTTTGCGTCAGAGGGAGTGTCAGGCAAGTTTATAAATCGAATAACTTAAGTAATTTGTGGATTAGTGCATACTGGAGACGCGAACCGTTTCAAACGATTCAGTTCGATTTGGTTAACTGGTTCACTAAGAAGATCCGGTTAAATAGAACGATTCGTTCGCGATCCGGACAT